TCAAATTAACGCGTTTTGGGAAAGTTGTGCGTGTCACGAAACTCTGGGAATTTCGACACTAAGTGGGCCAACTTGTCCGCATTGACGACTCGAATTGTTTTCGCCATAAACAAAGTGGCCAGTGGCCTCAATCCTGACATGAAATAATGTAATATTTTACACTTGGCCAGCAAGTAAATCCGGCTCCAAGTAGGTCAATTAAATGCGGTGCCCGCAGAGAGAAGCCACCCCGAATCTCGACTTCATTTCGATTATGTAAAACAAACATTTGATAAAAACTTTTCAAGCACCTCTGCAGCGCGGCTCACTTACAAATAGTTTTGTTTTGCACTTTATACGGTTGGAAAACTTTCCGGACACGCCACTCGCCGAAAAAATGTTTAAAGCCCAAAACCGGAAGCGCTGGGTCGCCGAGAACTGCGAGAAATATCCGAAACAAAAGCGGTTTGTAGAACCATTCGCGTCGACGTACCAAACTCAACTGAAGGGTCCGACTCGGCCTGGTCAGAAAATAACGAAATTATAGGCATGTCCATGCCCAGGGTGGTATGGGTCGTAGATGGTGGTATGTGGGTGGTGGTCCGACTCCTGGCACGGCACAATCAATTTTTGTTGCTGGCGCGTTTTTACTACGGCATTGTTGAAATGCTAATGCGCCATTTTGCATACATTTCTGGCGAGTTTCACCTGCCGCTGGCCAGTTGTGGGCCAAATAGTTGGCCCAAAGTGCCGCCAAAGATGCCGTATCCAAGCCGTTGAGGTCCACTCTAATAATTGTCCACAAATAAAGGTATTTCCCAACTCTATAGTTGAGCGGCCCCGAAAAGTGGGCAACGATTTAGCACATTTTATGCAAATCATGCAGCACTCCAGTTTTTTGGCATTTCCGCCACGTCAACTCCTTGAAGCCTGATAATAAATTCAAATCCAAAAGCAAATGAAATAATGAAAGCTCCACATATCACCACGAAAGCATTAAATTACCTGATGCAGAGTTATGGAAAAGTTTTCTAGGACGAGACATTGATTCGAAATCGTTTTGTGGGGCACAGCACGTCGATTATGATGGATTGATTGATTGACTGACTGAGTGTTGGCATTTGTAAATATCCCAGTCATCCATTACACGCTTGGAAATTTGCATTCAAAATTTCGAATTTGAATTTGGCAGGCCACCGAGACGGAGCCTTGCCCCAATTACGGATTTTTACTGACATCCGGCTCGGCTCACGAGAAGGTCAACGCAAATTACACGGTCATAGAACAAGGACTTGAGGTTTAGTAATTGAAATTTTTATTAGCTATTATTTTTTACCATATAGAGCGTGTGTGTAATTGTATTGTATAATTTTAATTTGATTCCGTTGCTGGCAATTCCATTTTAACTAAACGTTCGCAAAAAAAGTAATCGTTGCGGTTCGTAAAAGTGCAAACAAAAGTTCCAACTGGCCAATACTTAAGTATTAAATGCTAACTGAAATTTATATAACCTACATTATTGCTGGGGGAGTAAGGTGTTGATAGGTGTGGGTAGTATAGGTGTATAATAGCCGGGAATAACCAAGCGCAAGGCAAACAGAAATCGCTTGACAAAACAGTGAGCAAATATTTAAAGTAATTGGACTGGAGGCGTTGGGGGTCAGGACTGAATTCGTCTACGTCTGTGGAACAATTTTAGAATATCGCGTAAGTTATTTACGGGCTTCCGCCATCGCCTCACCCCTCGATGCATCGTTTTCGGCTACTAGAGTGTAAATAGGTTTAGTGGGACAGCAAGCGTGATACTGAGCCCCTGGACCCTGTGTGTGTGCTCGTTTATATTAGACTAAATGCAATTGGCTGATGCTAATGGAATTCTCTTCGCTTTCTCTGGCCTGCTGTGCTTGTGTAGATGTGTAATTGTATAATTGTCCTTATCAATATGCTCAAAATGTTATCGTCATTGTCAACTGAGCCTGTTGCGGTCCTCAGTTGTCCCCATAACCGCCCTCGATAACTGAAACGAAATCGTGGGGTTCTTGAGAAGCATCGGAGGACTGGAACAGACCAGATAATGCAGATTATTGTAATGGTTGGCATGTTTAGAATATCGCGGCGAGGCTTAGACACAGGGCTCTACGTAATTGCCCGGAAACAGGCCGGTCACACCGTCCATGACGCCCTCCCACCAGCCGTCATCGTTCTTCTTGAGCACGTACAGCACCGAGCTCTCCTGGAAACTGAGCTCATCGTCCTTGTCGGCATAATAGTCGTAAATGGCTACCACTGAAATAATAATCGAAATTAGAAAGGATTTTCTTTTGCAAATGGCTGGGACTTTTGAACTTACCCTTCTCAATGAAATTCTTGGGCACCCAGCCGGGTAAATTCTGGTCCTCGGGCACTATGGGCGCCAGCTGCGGTCCCGTCGAGGTGCGTGGTCGTCCGAAGTCCTGGTGCTCATCCTCCGGCGGCGGCGGAGGCGGCAAGGGCGGCGACTGGGAGCCGGGACGAGCAAAGTTCAAGCTGAAATGGTTTCTTTGGAAAAATAAATGGTTAATATACTAATTTTGTTACGGATTTCACGGGGTTATAAGCAGTTAAGTGCCAGACTTTCACAACACGAATTAAATATACAATTTTGTAAATTGAAACTGTGTATAACCCTTTGATAAATAGATAAGCATGCAATTACCGATTTGGATTCCTGGGTTTGCATAGAGAACATGAAATGAGTTATATATACACAGAAAAAGAGATGCGGATGTAAGAAACATACCTGTTGATGTTGCGTCCCAGGGTGTGCATGCCAATGTGACTCTGCTCAGTCATCTCGTGCTGCGACACCGTCAGCGGCGAAGGTGGAGCTGCTGGAGATTGAAAACGGGATTATTAGCCATGCATTTTTGCGGGAAAACATCTTAACTAACGTGGCATGCTGCTCCGATCGTCGTACGTAGTGGGTGGCGGTGGGGGCAGCGATTGCATCATGCCCGCGGATGGCAGGTTCACATGGGTGGCTATCTGCTGGCTGGGCGGCATCGGCAGTGCACTGTACCCAGCAGCTCGTTCGTTGCCCGCCGCCCCACCGCCGTGGTGGTGGTGGTCATCGTGGAAGAGGCCGTCGACATGCGCTTCGGATGACCAATCGGATAGTTGGGGGCGTAGTGCGAGGGCACCTGGGTGGATTGACCACAGGCGGAGTGCGATACTCCCGCGAGCTTTTGCCCAGAGTCCCGTATTGCTGACCGACTTGCCCAGGGTGCCGGTGTTTCCAGCCCGCGACATCTGCGGCGGAGTCGGTGGCTTCGTGGTCGGCGGAGGACCCACCGACGGGGGCAACAGGATTGCACGGACCCGTGGCTGGAGCCCCGGTGCTTCTGTCGCACTTGCGAGTGGGAGGCCGAGTTGATGCCGTGGCCAATCTCGTCCAGCATCGAGTAGTCAATGGGCTTGCGCACGTACTTGATGGGCTTCTCCGGATTTATGGGTGCCACGATCTTAAACTGGCGCGAGCTCACTTTGTTGGCCGTCAGCACGCCAATCTCCCTGGGGGGTGGAAAAATCATTATTGAAGTGGTGTAGATAAGAAAGTATTTAAACCATATAAAGTGAAAAATAATATGTTTGGGAACTCTAATATTTCTATAAATGATAACCAAATAAAAATATTGTAAATATTCTTAATTTAATAAATAAGAATGGGTTATTCCGTATACAAATGTTTCTATGGCCAATGAATTAATATGGAACGCCATAAGACTCGATAAAACATTAAATAGCAGCAAATAGTTGATATCAACCGCATGACCTCATAGAAGCACGTCTTTTACATATGTATGTACATAAATAAGCTTTTATCAACGATGACTCTTGCTTGAAATAACTAAAAGTACTCCAGAGACCGATTCTCTTGACTGTAGGGAATTCTATAGATATTTTATGATAAAACCTTGTTTCAAACCCCACATTAACTCCATAAAATTGGTTATAGATGTACTTTACGATATAATGCCTCCTAATACATTATTTTTGTATCAGCTGCATCAATATAAACTACTGGAAATGCTACAGTTCGATACCTTTAGCTCCTATAGATGCTCTTCTTATGGATGCACATATTTGCAATTCACAATGTTATGTTCTAGACAAGTGATATTCAATGACCTCTTGACCCACTCGACCTCCTTACCTCCTGGCCACCTTCTCCTTGTGGATGTGCACCGTCTGGGCGATGTGGTTCATCTGAGACTCCATCTCGCCGAGCTGCTGGGCCTGGAGCTCGAGCAGCTGCATGTAGCTGTAGGCGAGCGTGTTGATCTGATAGGCGACGCTGGCCAGCGACTGGGTGGTGTAGTTCTTGGTGGCCTCCAGGGCCGCCTTCTTGTTGTCCGCGCGGTAGTAGGTGTCCTCGCAGTAGTCGGCCACCCGTCCAGGTTCGTGTAGCTGTCCCGCAGACTCTGGCGGCCGTCGGGGATCTCGGTGCGTATCAGAGAGGCTAGTTCGTCCATGATGTTCTCGCTGGCCATGGGGGCTTCGGTCAACATGGGTGTGGATGCTGGGGGCGAACGGGAGACGAGAACCCAATTAGTTTCCCCGCTTTTCCGCACTTTTCACGCCCGTAAACATTTGGGGCGTGGACACTTCTGGTCCGCTGCCGCTGCCGACGTCGACGCAGCTGCTCCAATTGCCGTTGGAGCGAGCGTCGTGCGAATTTCGCGTGCACTCACTTTATTGACTATGCGATTGCACAACAGAGGCTTTTCCGGGCTGGTTGCTACGCTTTAAATGCAGATAAATGCAGTTTTTCTTTACATTTTCAGAGGAAAAAGAACGCTCGAGCTGGTGCTGCGAAGTGCGGCGTTTACCAACACTTTGCCAGTGCTGACGCATTTGGTATTTTAAAAATATACCAAATATATAGGTGGATGTCTCGCTAAGTTAGCCAATACACCTCCAACATTTGCGTGGAACATCAAAATACTGAAATATACCGACAATAAGAAATTTATAATTGGCCTGCAGCACCTGGTCACATTGGTTGTGAGTAATATTTTTTTCGGCAATATTAATTTTAGCTGTTTTCCAAATGTCTCACCAAACGGGTATCCGAGGTTTGTTATGATAAGGAATCACCCAGCCGATATCCTAAGATTCCCCTTCCTTTTTTCAGCCAACGAGCAGCTGGCCAAGGTGTTCGGCAAAGCGAAGAATGGTAAATTTCGCGTGATAAAAGTTTCGATCGAGAATGGTGAGTGGATTTGCTCCAGAAGTGTATATATACATACGATATATATGCTGCATAAGTGGGGCACTTGATAACGAGGCTTCCGATTCTCCCCCGCCCCATTTACAGAGCAGCTCAGTTGTGGCGCCACGGCGGAGACGAAGAAGGACTGGGAACGCGACTACGACAAGCTGATCGGTCCTCTGCTGGAGAAGGATGTGCCCTGCTACATTCTCTACCGCCTGGATGCGAAGATCCCGCTGGCTACAGTTGGCTGCTCATTAGCTGGATACCGGACACGGCCAGCATCCGGCAGAAGATGGTCTACGCCTCCACAAAGGCCACGCTGAAAACGGAGTTCGGATCGGCCTACATCACCGAGGAGCTGCATGCCACCACTTGGATGAGTCCACGTTGGAGGGATATCGCCGGCACAAGCAGGACTTTGCGGCTCCCGCTCCTCTGACCACCAGGGAGGAGAGCTGAAGGAACTGCGGAAAACAGAGGTCCACACCGAGATCAACACAAATACCCGGCACCAAACTCTCGGGGGATCAACTGTCCCTCAGCGAGCAGACTGTGGCCGCCGTTCAGGATCTGGTTCGCGGCAATCACGACTACCTGCAGTTCCGCATGATCTGGAGGAGGAGCAAATCCACGTCTCGCACGCAGCTAAAGTGGAAATCGCCGATCTACCGAAGCAAGTGCCCGAGGATCATGCCCGCTACCACCTCTTTCTCTTCCGGCACACGCACGAGGGCGACTACTTGGAGTCCTACGTTTTCGTCTACTCCATGCCGGGATACTCCTGCTCCGTGCGCGAGCGCATGATGTACTCCAGCTGCAAGGCTCCGTTCTTGGAGGAGCTGGCGGCCCTCGGCGTGGAGGTCATCAAGAAGGTGTGTATCTAAGGCAGGTGTGGCTGCACCAATGACTAGGGATATAAGAATCCAGAACAATGAGTATATGATCATTTCCGTTCAAGCTGTATTATATTTATAGATTTATGGCTCCGAAATCATAAAATACGCCTTGTTTTGGTTCTATTTTTGTTTCTTATCAAGTGTGTATACATTTTGCTAACTATACTTCATCCCCAGCTGGAAATCGACAGCGGCAGCGAGTTGACCGAAGCCTTCCTGCAGGACGAGCTGCATCCGAAGAAGATCCTCCACCGACCGGCTTTTGCCAAGCCCAAGGGGCCACCTAACCGCGGCGCCAAGCGCCTCACGCGCCCCACCACCGAGGACTAAGTCTGAATCCCGATCCCATCGCGTCAATTCTATTTATCCCCTTCAACTGTTTCCTAGCAGAGCATTTAATTTATTGTATCCAAAAACGAGTTCCGTGTTCATTTCTGTGTCCGTGTCTATATGTGTCCGTACGCGAGTCGATATCTTTAGAGGCACTAGGCATCAACTGAAACATCGCATAGCAGCCGCCAATGTGGGCTTCCTTATATGTATTCTTGTCTATGTTACTTTAGATGGACATATTTGCAATTTATTTAAATTAAAAAAACTCAACTAAGTTTACACTGGCGTCTACTTAAAAAACTCAGGACTAGACTCACTTGACCGAGTCCAGGGATACCTGTTCGGGAACTTTCTCGTCGTGCGCCTTGAAGATCTCTGGGTTTTCGTCTTCCGTCAGTTTTTTGAACGCCAGCTGGATGTTTTCGTCGCGATCGAGCCGCCACTTGTATGCCAGTAGCGCACCTCCTCCATCGAGGTGCCGGATGCCTTCATCAGCAGCAGGGAGGTGACTCCAGCCACTCCACCCAAGAAGCCTCCAATGATTCCACCTGCCGCCATGCCCCGCAATCCCAGGTTCATTTTGTAAAGCGAGCCGGTGATGGAACCGGCGGCCAAGTACTCATAGATGGAGGATTTTCCACGGTACACCGACATGCAGGTGATGATCCACTGGAATAATATTTTATAGATTAATATATAGAAAATCTAAATGATAATACATTTTTTAACCTGTTTAGGGGATTTTAATCATATTATAAAATAACTATTTAGGGTTGGGATAACAAACTTACAAGTAGGATGTGGTGAAGAGCCCCACGCGCCAGCCCCATTTGAAACCCCCTTGGCGAAGTTGACTGTGAACTGATCTGCAGCTTTTTCTTGATAGGAATTAAAAACTTACTAATTATATCCATTAATTATAGGATTAGATCCTTACCTTGGCATCAAAGTGAGATTTGAAGGCTGTCGCCTGATTGTTCTCCATGAAATTCATGTAGCCCACGCGCGATTGTGTAACTCCTCCATAAATGGCTCCAATGAGGAAGCCCAGGAAGCCGGCTTGGTAAATGGAGTTCAGTTCGGAGGATATGCTACCAAACTCGCTAATTAAATATACAAATCATTCATTATTTATTTTTAAATGAAATTATTGGAAATTTCGTACTCGATTGAAAACATTTGTTTGAGGCGCTCCAGTCCCGTTTCCTCTGGCGGTTTACTGGCCAGGAAAGCCTTGTAGGTCTTGTTTTCCTTATCCTTTATGTCGTCGGCGCTGTTTTCGAGGATTGGCAGGATCCCGGCGATGAGAAACCGGCGTCCTTTCCACAGAAAACTCATTTTTAAAGCGCGTTGAATAACAACGTGAAATGAAAACAACAATATCAGCTGTTTGCCGGCCCGCTAGTGTTGAAAAGTGTGCTTGCCTTTCAGTGCTGTCTAACTCAGTTTTGGCCGCCTCCAATAAGAATGTTTGTTTAAAAAATAATCTTTTGTTTTTAGCTGCTCACATAGCTCATTTTTCTGTAAGTAAGTGGATTTTATTATTTTTAAAATGTAAATTACTTTAAAAATCATGTTTTTGTAAATATTACTTTGTGCTACAACTATCTGCACAGCACCTTATGTTTTCAGCTGGACGCTTACCAACACTGCACAACGCCGCCAAACGCGTTGTCGGCAAACATTTGTTGTGAAATTTTCTACGTTTCTACAAGTTAATTCATTGCAAAACCAATTAATTGTTATTAAATAATAAAGCTAAAGTGCTCTTGCACTTTGGAAAACCGAAATCATGATGTACGACAACGAGGAAGGTGGGTTAAATGGATTTGCAAAATCCTACCCATGCACGTTGGCAGAAGAAAAAAACGAACATGGCGGCTGGAGCGCTAGGGCTCCGCTTTATTTTGCTTTTGATTGATTCAAATAATACATTCCAAATTCCATTCTTGCAGAGCTGTACGAGGAGGAGAATGCCGAGGAGATCTCCCACGAGCTGTGGCAGGAGGCCTGCTGGATCGTAATCAACGCCTACTTTGACGAGAAGGGCCTGGTGCGGCAGCAACTGGACAGTTTCGATGAGTTCATCCAGATGTCGGTGCAGCGCATCGTGGAGGATTCCCCGGCCATCGAGCTTCAAGCGGAGGCACAGCACACATCCGGCGAGGTGGAAACCCCTCCTCGATTCTCCCTGAAATTCGAGCAAATCTATCTGTCCAAGCCCACGCATTGGGAAAAGGATGGTTCACCTAGTCCCATGATGCCGAACGAAGCCCGCCTGCGAAATCTTACCTACTCCGCTCCCCTCTACGTGGACATCACGAAAACCAAGAATGTCGAGGGACTGGACCCCGTGGAAACGCAGCACCAGAAGACTTTCATTGGCAAGATTCCCATCATGTTGAGATCCACCTACTGCCTGCTATCCCAGCTCACGGATCGTGATCTTACGGAGCTTAACGAGTGCCCGCTGGATCCCGGCGGCTACTTCATCATCAACGGCTCGGAGAAGGTGCTAATTGCCCAGGAGAAGATGGCCACAAACACAGTGTACGTGTTCAGCATGAAGGACGGCAAATACGCGTTCAAGACTGAGATTAGGTCGTGTTTGGAGCACAGTTCTCGACCCACTTCCACGCTGTGGGTAAACATGATGGCCAGGGGATCGCAGAACATTAAAAAATCCGCCATTGGACAGAGGATCATAGCCATCCTACCGTACATCAAACAGGAAATACCCATTATGATTGTGTTCGAGCATTGGGTTTCGTGGCCGATCGCGATATCTTGGAGCACATCATCTACGACTTTGACGATCCCGAGATGATGGAGATGGTGAAGCCATCTTGGATGAGGCCTTCGTGGTGCAAGAACAGAATGTTGCCTTGAACTTCATAGGAGCCAGGGGTGCCCGTCCCGGAGTCACAAAAGACAAGCGTATCAAGTACGCTAAGGAAATTCTGCAGAAGGAAATGCTGCCCCATGTGGGAGTCTCCGATTTCTGCGAGACCAAGAAGGCGTATTTCCTGGGATACATGGTGCACCGGCTGCTGCTGGCTTCCTTGGGCAGGAGAGAACTCGATGACCGAGATCACTACGGAAACAAGCGACTTGACCTCGCTGGTCCACTGTTGGCATTCCTCTTCCGTGGGTTGTTCAAAACCTGATGAAAGAGGTGCGCATGTACACACAGAAGTTCATCGATCGAGGAAAGGACTTCAACCTTGAGTTGGCCATCAAGACAACATTATTACGGATGGTCTGCGGTACTCTTTGGCCACTGGCAACTGGGGCGACCAGAAGAAGGCCCATCAGGCGAGAGCTGGCGTCTCCCAGGTGTTGAATCGTTTGACCTTCGCCTCCACACTCTCCCATTTGCGGCGTGTCAACTCGCCATTGGTAGGGATGGTAAACTGGCCAAGCCCCGTCAGCTGCACAACACCCTGTGGGGCATGTTGTGTCCCGCCGAAACTCCCGAGGGAGCTGCTGTCGGCTTGGTGAAAAACCTTGCCCTCATGGCCTACATTTCTGTCGGATCACAACCATCTCCCATTCTGGAGTTCTTGGAGGAGTGGTCCATGGAGAACCTGGAGGAGATTGCACCCTCCGCCATCGCAGATGCCACCAAGATCTTTGTGAACGGATGCTGGGTTGGCATCCATCGCGATCCTGAGCAGCTGATGGCCACGCTGCGCAAACTGCGTCGCCAGATGGACATCATCGTTTCGGAGGTGTCCATGATCCGAGACATCCGAGATCGTGAGATCCGAATTTATACAGATGCGGGTCGCATTTGTAGGCCACTCCTCATCGTAGAGAACGGATCGCTTCTGCTGAAGAAGACCCATGTGGAGATGTTGAAGGAGCGGGACTACAACAATTACAGTTGGCAGGTCCTGGTGGCCTCCGGAGTGGTGGAGTATATTGATACCCTCGAGGAGGAAACCGTCATGATCGCCATGTCCCCATACGATCTGAAGCAGGACAAGGACTATGCTTATTGTACCACGTACACGCATTGCGAGATTCATCCAGCCATGATCCTGGGAGTCTGCGCCTCCATTATACCCTTCCCCGATCACAACCAGAGTCCGCGTAACACCTATCAAAGCGCTATGGGTAAGTTATACAGAATAACTCTATTCTTTGAAAATATTAATATGTTTTCCTTGTGATTGATAGGTAAACAAGCTATGGGCGTGTACATCACCAACTTCCATGTGCGTATGGACACGCTGGCCCACGTGCTGTACTATCCAATGAAGCCGCTTGTGACCACACGTTCCATGGAGTACCTGCGTTTCCGAGAACTACCAGCTGGCATCAACTCAATTGTGGCCATTCTCTGCTACACTGGCTACAACCAGGAGATTCTGTCATTCTGAATGCCTCGGCTGTGGAGCGTGGCTTCTTCCGCTCGGTGTTCTACCGGTCTTACAAGGATTCGGAGAACAAGCGTGTGGGCGATCAGGAGGAGAACTTCGAGAAGCCTCATCGCGGCACCTGCCAGGGAATGCGGAATGCTCACTACGACAAGCTGGACGACGATGGAATTATCGCCCCGGGAATTCGTGTGTCCGGTGATGATGTGGTTATTGGCAAGACTATTACGCTCCCTGAAAACGACGACGAGTTGGACAGCAACACGAAGCGCTTTTCCAAGCGAGACGCCTCCACTTTCCTGCGAAATTCTGAGACTGGTATTGTGGATCAGGTGATGCTTACGCTCAACAGCGAGGGCTACAAGTTCTGCAAGATTCGAGTGCGTTCCGTGCGTATCCCCCAGATCGGCGATAAGTTCGCCTCCCGTCACGGACAAAAGGGAACGTGTGGTATCCAGTATCGTCAAGAGGATATGGCTTTCACCTGCGAGGGCTTGGCACCAGATATCATCATTAATCCCCACGCCATTCCATCTCGTATGACAATTGGTCACTTGATCGAGTGCCTGCAGGGCAAACTGGGATCCAACAAGGGCGAGATCGGTGATGCCACACCTTTCAACGATGCAGTCAACGTGCAGAAGATCTCAACGTTCCTGCAGGAGTACGGCTATCATCTGCGAGGCAACGAGGTCATGTACAACGGACACACTGGACGCAAGATTAATGCTCAGGTATGATGATTTTAATTCAAAGTTGGCGCAAGCAAAAACCAATAATATACTTTCCTTTAGGTTTTCTTGGGACCCACCTACTATCAGCGTCTCAAGCATATGGTGGACGACAAGATTCACTCCCGTGCCCGTGGTCCCGTCCAGATCCTGGTGCGTCAGCCTATGGAGGGTCGTGCCCGTGACGGTGGCTTGCGTTTCGGCGAGATGGAGCGTGATTGTCAGATTTCCCACGGCGCCGCTCAGTTCCTGCGAGAGCGTCTGTTCGAGGTCTCCGATCCTTACCGCGTGCACATCTGCAACTTCTGTGGCCTGATCGCCATCGCCAATCTGCGCAATAACACGTTTGAGTGCAAGGGCTGCAAGAACAAGACGCAGATCTCCCAGGTACGACTCCCATATGCGGCCAAACTGCTCTTCCAGGAGTTGATGTCCATGAACATCGCGCCGCGCCTGATGGTCAACTAATCTTACAGGATTCGCTGACCACTTAATCGCCCTAAGCTAAAAGTTAGCAGTTAATATTAAATTACCATAATTGTGACAACTCAATTAGGTGCTTTGTCTGGCGTTTTCTATTATTCCCGAAACTGGAGCGAGTGCCCGCCGTGCATTTTTAAAGAGCCGAACGTGCCACAAGTATTTTTCGGCGAAAGTCTGCACGGGTTTAACAGCTCGCTAGTGGAATGTGATTTATTTGCTTATTTCAAATAAGTTATTTGGCTCACAAACGTTTTTAAATACACTCTCATGTATTTGGGTACAAGGTTGGGTGTGTTGGAATTTATTCACAAAATGTATTGTACTGGAAACACTTTATTGAGTTTAAAAAGTTTGTTTATTCAGTTAAACTTCTACACGAAACTTACTCAATTTGATAAGTTATTGAGTTCTAAAACTTAAATCAATTATTGTTTGACTTTGGCCAAGTTCAAATACAATTTGCCAAGTTTTATAATTTTGTTGTGTTAACTATAGGATGGATGCTTTAGTACAAACAAAATCTTCGTTAAAGGTATGAATCTTTTGCTCCAATTCCTCTTGGGTAATCCCTTAATAAAGTCCATTATCCCATCGAATACCTAGCCTTAAGCGTATACTAAATTCGGCTTTCAATGGAAAGCATTTCCATTTCCATTTATTTTTTGTTTGTGCTATTGTTGCTTTCTTTGATTTTGACGTAATGCTTTGGCCCGCGGTCTATGACGCCCAGTGACAAAAGGGATTAGTTTTTTGTTGTCGGATATGGGGATTGTGGTTATGGGAGGCGGAGAAGGTGGTGGAGATGGAGCTGGAGCTGGAGCTGGAGCCACAGCTGCCAATCGACTGACAGTTATTAATTGCCACTTGACGTGGCTGCGAGCTGGAACAAGAAGCGACCCCAGCCCGCAAAGTTCGTGTCGCTGCCAATGCTGATACCAATGTCGGGGCTGATGGCCAAGACGATGCTGACACCCATCAGTCTGCGGGCCTGAGCCCGGCTTATGAGTAATTGAAATTGTGTGTAAATCCGCGAACGCAAAGTGGCGCCGAGATAAGACTTCAGAGCAACAGTGAAAAAGACACGCTGCACTTCGGCACTCCTGAGGTATTTATTTATAGCGTCTTAAAAATAACTTATATTACTCCTTTTTATCGTTAACACTTGGTGTCTTCCCTCATTTATCTCCGTTGCTAAAAACACTGATGGCGTAGAACTCGGGCACTCGGTAGACCTTCAGGCGTTCGTGGCTGAAACGTCCGTTGGTGAGGGCCTTCACATAGAAGATGTCCTTCAGGCCGAGGCTCTTCCGCTGCGAGGGTTTCATCTCATCCAGGACAAGGCGCTGCTGCTTGGGTCGATAGCCACTGGACTTGTCCTCCAGTAGTTTCACGAAGATAATGTCCTGCTCGTCATTTCGTCCTGCCATTGTTCGCGCCTGGTAGAGATTCTCACGTGGTTTTGGATAGATCAGCACAGGTTGAATGGGCAACACCTGGCTGGGCGACGTGGGATAGGCTTCCAGTTCCTCCGGCTCCGGATCTCTGAAGTGGAGGGCAGGAGCTGCCCAGGATATGCAAGGAAGGTAGGCTGCCAGCAGAGCAGACGACTGTTTGGTTTATCTAGAGAAAATAAAACTAGGGTTACTTAAGATCCATAAAAAAGTCACACTTTAACTGATTTTAAGGGCTAAATAAGTCTATACTCTTTAAAACCTTTCTTTTTTTATTTAACTAAATACATTTAAAATAATTAGCTTTGTGTAAAATGTAGTGCAATAAAGTCTAAACCAGTTTGGTATTGGCTTATTTGAATAATAAACACGTTTTCGACAATTAGTTTAGATTTATGTGTTTGCTGTGCTTTTCTTTCGAAGGATTTATGGTTTTATTTTAGGCCTCAAAAGCAATTAATAAATAAAATAAATCAAAAGTCGGCAAACTGCCAGCTGAAGCATTTACAATTAAAAAACAATATATCTTGCAGGTATAAATTTGAAATTATATACTTTGAAAATTATACTTGAAACTAAACCGTTACCTATTATAGTTTTGCTATTTTTCAAGACTCATTTATCAATTGATTTGTTAATTAACAAGACTAATCAAAGATAAGATAAATGATAAAGTCATGAAGCTATGAAATGATGTATAACAAAATCCTGTTCAACGCACATTTTAACACATTTATTTTTCCCATCGGTTGTAAGTGATTTATAACTTGTCAGATTTGTTTTATCAAGGGGATTTGCATATCTAATTGATCTACAAACAGGGCAAATTAATTGAGTATTGTGACCAGCCAGATTAGTTCAGCCAAGACACACTTTGATATTTGGCCATAAGCGGAAGAGTGACTTTATACTTTTTTGACTTGGTTCTTGTTTTGAATTACCGTTTTCATTGCGTTTCTTAAATCCCAGCTCAAGTTCGCTCGGCAAAATCGAAAATATATATATACAAGTATATTTATTTTTTGAACCTAAGCGGCTTTGGTATGCTTTTCGGCACTCTTGCCCTTTTTGGGCAATAAAACGTAATATCACAGACGATAAAAGCGGCGATCGAGCGCGAGGCGCGAATGTCAGAAGCAGACTGGCGTGCGACAAGGCCAAGTTAACTTCATTTACCGCCCGACGAAGCCACCGGCAGAAGCTGAGACTGAAGCTCAAATAAAAAAATAAAAACTAAAGTACAAAAAAAGAAGGCCCGAGCTGGATGAAGAAAAAGCAGCAGCAGCGCAGTTTCCAAGCTGTCAACAAATTGCAAACGGTGGGCAAACAAAGACAGATGGCTGGTTTAACACCCATTAACTGCTGTAGGAACAGCTCCTAAATCAACATGCATTAAAAATATATCCAGTAGATTTTTTTCATTTTAGGAAATATAAAAATATGTAAGAATCTAATATATATATCTGTATAAAAATACCTATGTGAATAGGTTATTTTGTAGTCCGGCTATTAAAACAAATTCTATATTAATAAAAAAAAATTGGAAGTTAATAAATTATATTTTTAAGAGGAATATGAAGTAAAAAAAATGATAATAAAACTATCTAAAATTTAACTCTTAAAACAGTTTAAAAACATTTCTCTAAATAAAAATATTATTGGAATATAAACAATTATAGTTAAATTTAATATATATATCTAAACAAAAAAGCTATAAAATAAGTAATGTATTGTAATTTGTTACATAAAATATTGTTAACCGTTTCTATATGCTAAAAACATTGATATAAGTTTGGTTAATATATTTTTAAGAGGAATAGGAAGTAGAAATGATGAAACTGACTAATATTTGACTCTAAAAATAGATCTTCAAAAATATTTCTGTAAATAAACAGATTAATCCCATTGCACCATAGTCTTTTAGATAACTTCCTACACATCAATCGTTAATGGGTTAATAAACAAAGATGGTCTAGGGGCGTTCCATTCATATTCAGTGTTTGTGATATTAATTGATCACTAGGTCGGAGTGTCGATGGGTTCAATGTTATCAACATGGGAGTACGGATCAATCACCTGTGTTTGATAAGCTAAAAACTAATATCCACCTGTTTACATTTCGCTCTATCGCCCGGTAATTTTATGCTCTTGCCGCCAGTGATGTCAAATTATTATTATAGCCACTGAATGGGAAGCGAGGTAAATAGAAAAAATCACATAAACAGCAGAAATAACTTAAGACACGTAGAAATGCTTAATTAGCGAATAAATATTTGCGCTGCCTTGAGTTTAGCAAAGAGTTTTGAACACTTGCTGGATGGTTTTATGAGTATATTTGCAGTTGAGGCTAACAGTAATAATAGAAATTTGTAGTTAAGTAATGTTTTTGAGGGTTCTTCAGCTTGATGGCAGACAAATCAATCATACGCACCGTGGATCCGCCGTTGAAAATCAATTACAGCGTGGGCAGAAATAGAGTTAAATAAATAAGCAGCGGCAATTGAGGCAACACAAGGCCAAAAACGAAATTTAATCGCTTTAAATGTGAAATTATGGTTAAAAAGGTAGCGAAAAGAAAACAAATAAACACCCAAGTGAAGCGCAAATAATTACAAGTTGTCCTTATTGTTTGGCAAATCAAAACAGTTGTCGTTCGATTTCGCTGGAACTCGAATCTCAATTCGTGACTGATTAATTACAGCGCATCTCGAGCCCCCTTTTCCGCACTTTGCATATTCGATTTGGCCTTGTTTTCGCTTTCGATTCCATTCCATTCGATTCGATTCTTTTTGGCCAAGAAGAGCTCCATTTGAAAGGTGAATACTTATGCTGGGCAGCTCTATCGATGGTGTTGTTTTTTTTTTTCTACCGTTTGCGCAAACCTCTGAAAAAAAAGGGAAAGCTTTTCGATTTCAGAGGTGTCGGCATCGATGTCTGTGGCGCCGCATTAGCCGCAAATTGTGGTTTATGCGTCTGGCCAAAAGCCATCAGCGTTGTGGGAGTAACAGGTATCATATGGTGGCCCTTTTAGCCCTTCCAAAGGTTAATCTGTAACTACAACAATGGCAGCAATTTTATTTGGCAGAGTGCATACGTTTGGGAATAAAGCGAGTGAAAAGTTGATTGTAAACATCCTGCACCGCATTTAGTTTTATTAAAATGTTGCAAAAAGTTGATTGAATAAATTGAATTGAATGGCCAGTTTTTGCTGATATTTTAATACGATTTTGTTCTATGATTTTTATTGTGACACTAGTTTATTTATTATTTTTATTATTCTCATTTGTTGTGTATTTTTGTTACATATTATATAATACAAAACTGCAAAGAGGGAAGTAGAAAGGCTTATGGATTTATTTGCTATTTTTACCAAATTTGGCATCTCCCTACATTTGTTATTTTTCGCCAATTTATTATGCAAGTATTGTTGTTAGCAGTGGCGTTTTATGTGGCTATTATATCACACTGCTGATGAACATAAAATGTGGAAGTGGAATCACAAAAAATTGGAGTAGAGTTGAATGGCTTTAAATGATTTAAATGCTGATTTAAATGCAATTTATTGCCGCTTTTCAATTTACAACTTAAAGCATTTCGATCTTATGCTGTTTTATTCTCTTAATCATTCTTTTACAACTTTATTATGCGGTTCGTCCTTATTAAAACCCAATAAACTGTACGCTGAATATTAATCGTTTCCATGCTATTCATTGCCATTAAACCCATTGAATGTTAAATATTCAGATGGAAATAAATAAAGCATACGTTTTTTTCCCATAATAACGCCTGTTTTTTCCTTTTGAATAATTTTGATTTGCGTTAAACAGCACCAACGCATTCCCAACGGCCAGATTTAAGCGGATATTTCACATTCAACACCTTTTGCAGTAGGATTGTTCGCTTTTTCGCACAATTTCCCCTACTCATTTCGGGCCTCATTAGCATTGTTAATTGATAACAGTTGGAGGGTTGGCAGACCGAAACAAGGGAACACACAGCTCGGTTTATAACGAAATAATCATAATTCGGTCGAGGAACAAGGATGTCTGCTGAGGGAAGTGTGGGTAGTAATACTTGTATTCATGCAAATGAGCGAGTTTTGTCTTTGGCTTTGTGCAAATACGAAAATCCAAAAGGTACTTTACTATGAAATACGATGACAGGACAAACGGCGTTTGGAGCGCGTTTTTAATTACCATAATTACATAACTGCACTCACACCAGCAGACACTCACGAGCCCCACAAGCACGCACTCACGCACACAACTGCTGTTCGGGCCCACGCCTAAGAGTATGCAACACATTCGCCAGAGGAGTTAGGAGTGGAGCACGTAGTGCTGACGGGGTTTTTTACATGAAAAGGCTAAATAACTAGTTAAAAAGGATAGGATAGGATGTGATACAAGTTAACAATAGGATTTAATTTAGTGGAATTACTTTCTTAAAATCCATATACACCGCGAATCTTTCAGCTTATGACAGCTTATGATAGCATTTATAAAACCAAATCGATTTTAAAAGTCTTTATACTGACTTGCATGTAATTTGAATTAAATGAGATATTTTTTTTAATAATAATTTTTAAATATTCATTTAATAATTCTTTGTATTATAATATACGAAAATCATAAAATAGTATAAGCCACACTGATGAAAAAATTAATAACATAAATAAATATCTCTAAATTGAATTTAAAATCACTTATTCAATATTTAAATTAGATACAGAAACATAAATATACTACAAAATAGATTTAATTGCATTTTTGATTTTAACCAGGGTAGAAAATAGTAGTTTGAATTGTAAACATTTTTAAGTGTAACGCAAAAGGTAAAATGTAAAAGTCAAAGTTTTAAAACCTTAAATTGACTTTAATTACTCAATAATTATTTTCATATTTTAGATGAAAAATTTAGAATGAACGAATGTCAAAACGATGGTTGAAAAATAAATTAATTTTTCCCCGTGAAAGTATATTAAAGTATTTATTTATCAATATTTAATCTAAGACTTTGAACAAACTAAGTAATATACAAAAATATTACACTTCTACTGGGAAATATCTTAATTAGCTTATAGGTCCCACCATATGTTTCTATCTAAACAGACATCACTGAAGCGGAATTTAATGCCGGGTGGTATGGGCCAGTCCCTTTATTGTTGT